AAGCAAACTTATTTGTGTAGATGGTATGATCGTCTGTACAGGACAGGGCAGAACAATCATTACAATTAATAAGACAGTTTGAAAAGTTTGCTGGAAACAACATCAATAACCAAATGCCAATGATATTATTATAAGTTAGCAACAATTAGCTAGAAAATTTAGTTTTAGAAAGGAGAAATTTGTAACAGTAATCAAAAACTTAAAAAATATAGGATAAATATAATAATAGATGTATGAGATTTTTAAGAAAAAAATCATAAACTTTTATTAAGATATATTTTAGAAGTATAAGCCAATAAAGAGATATGCCACATTTTTAGATTGGGAGACTCAGTATCATAAAGATGTCAATTCTCCCCAAATTGACCTATAGGTCAATGAGACTAATCAAAACCTGAACAGAATTTTTAATTGAACTTAGCAAGACAACTCTAATATGTACATGGAAAAGTAGGGGCCAGGAATAACCAAAATGTTCCTAAAACAGAGAGCATAGTACATAGAAGGATTTGCTCTACTGGATTTCAAGACTGATCATAAAGCTTTAGTAATTAAGTCAGTCAGGTACTGGGGCAGGGATAGAAACATAGATCAAGGAACAGAAAGATGACCATGCATATTTAGAAATCTATTTGTTAGTATGAAAAGAATAAATTATTCAGTAAATAATGCCAGGAATTTCCATATGGAAAAAAAATAGGAATAGGATCCCACCTCATAGTACACTCAAATGTCACTTTCAGAAGGATTAAAGACCTAATGATAAAGAACTATAAAACTTTTAGATGGCAATTTAGGAAAACAATCTTTTTGGTCTTAGACTAGAAAAGGATATCTTTTTTTTTTTAAGTTTTTTTTTTTTCCTCACCCAGCATGGAGCTCGAACTCACAACCTTGAGATCAAGAATCACATGCTCTTCTGACTGAGCCAGCCAGGCACCCCCAGAAGAAGATTTCTCAAACAAGATGCAGGACGCACAAACCATAAAGGATAAACTTTGTGAATTTAACTACATTAAGCAATACTCAAAGAATGAAAAGCCAAACCTCAAACTGGGAAAAGATACAGCAAAACCTGTAACTATCAAGGATCTGGGTTCAGAATATGTATAGAATCCCTACATTTCAACAAGAAAGAGACAACACGAACATGGGCAAGTGACACAACAGATTATTCACAAAAGAACAAACACAAATAGTTTGCAGACATAGAAAAATACTGAAATAATAAGTAAGGCAACGGGATCTTAAACCGAAGTGAGATGCCATTTATCACCTCTCAGAATGGCATAGAGTAGGGGGTAGGAATGGTGAGGATGGGGTGCACTAGGAACTCTGCAATGGTAGGGAGGAGTTGTACATACACTTTGGGAAAACATCTGCCTGCACCTAATAAAGCTGACTTTGCATGTGCCCCAAATTCTACACATATGTACCAACTGACATGCTCAGAAGTGTTCATAGCAATGTTGTCCACATGAGCCTCAAACTGGAAGCAACACCAATGCCTATTGACAGCAGAACGTATAAGTCATGGTTTAGACACCCAGTGGAATACTATACAGCAGTGAAAAGGAGTGGGTTCCAGCTAAGTGAAGATAAAATTGAGGCACAACAAACACCACACAGTATGTTTCTACATCGGTCAAAGACAGTCTAGACTAAACAATATCTTGTTTAGGAATATGCACACAGTCGGTAAATAAGAAAATGAGGGACTAAATAACCAAAATCTAGCTAGAGGTGTATAGGATTAGGGAGGGGTGCATCAGGAGCTTGGAAAGTACTGGTAATGTTGTGTTTCCTTACTTGGGTGATGGATTTATGGGAAATATGGAACATACATATTTTATTTTTTTATTTTTTTAAAGATTTTATTTATTTATTTGACAGAGACACACAGCGAGAGAGGGAACACAAGCAGGGGGAGTGGGAGAGGGAGAAGCAGGCTTCCCGCGGAGCAGAGAGCCCGATGTGGGGCTCAATCCTAGGACTCTGGGATCACGACCTGAGCCGAAGGCAGACACTTAACGACTGAGCCACCCAGGTGCCCCGGAACATACACATTTTAAACACTGTTTTGTCTACATGGTAGATTTCATAATTAAAACAAAATAAAAACAATAGAGTTTCAGCTCTCACTGCTTAGGTAGGGTGTGGCACATTTGGAAGTGGGTGCAGGTGGAGGTAGGGGGCTGTGGGCCCAACAAGAGAGCTGGGTCCCGGTTGGGAGAAGGGATGAGGGTTAAGTATTTGCCTGGGGTTCTGGCAGGTGTATTAGTCATGGTGGTAAATGCTATGAACATGCTCAGAGAGAAGGCCAGAGGGGCCTGTCCTTTATAGGGCTGAGTGGTCATCCCTGTTAGGTAGAGTGGCCAGACATTCATGGGTTAAGTCACATGAGGGATACAAAAATTCCTTTCAATTGATATTGCTCAAAGCTGATCCCACCAATAATACAAGCAGCATTTGCACTTGACTCAAAGGCCTGCTCCACACAGGGGTGCATCACCTAGTCTATAAGTAAGTGTTGGGGGGCTGGTGGGGCAGGCTGATGGGTAAAGGGAAAAAGTTTAGTTTAAAAAGTAGTATTTGCTGGGGCGCCTGGGTGGCTCAGTCAGTTGAGTGACCGACTCCTGATTTCGGCTTGGGTCATGATCTCTGGGTCGTGCGATCGAGCCCCACATTGGGCTCCTTGCTCAGTGAAGAGTCTGCTTGAGATTCTCTCTCTCCCTCTCCCTCTGTCCATCCTCCCCTCTTAAATAAATAAATAAAATTTTTAAAAACTTTTGTTTTAAGTAGTATTTGCTTTGGGGCTGGAGATCAAGCCTCATGGGGTGATGACAGACATCTGGGGGTTTCTTGTGAGAAGTTGGCATGGCTGAGGTTAAATGCTGGCGTCTGGGGATCTGACCACCAAACTGGGGTGGGATGAAAGGAAATGAGACCAGGAGACCAGGGGCCTGATAAAGGGTTTTGACTCTGTGTTCATAATGGAGACTCAGTTCTCTGGCCAGCAGAAGTGGTTGGTAGTTACTAAGCACAGGGAATGTTAGGATTTGATCCAAAATTTAGAAAGATTGAGCTGGTGGCTGTGTGGAGGTTGGCCAGGACAGGGGAGGGGCGGGAAGCAGGGAGACCAGTGAGAAGACCAGTGACAGGTGGCACTGGCCTCAGCTGACATGAGGACCATGGGTTGGAGCAGACCAGAGAGAGGCCATGGTTAATACTGTCCTGAGAATGAAGCTAGCACCAATGTAATACTGTGTATGTAGGTGGACTTGGGCTTTAGACACCCATGCAAGAGCTCATTCTGCCAAAAGGAGACTCTGATAAATTCTTTTTTTAAAAGATGTATTTATTTATTAGAGGGGGGGAGGGGCAAAGGGAGAGAAGCAGATTCCCTGCTGAGCGCGGAGCCCATTACGGGGCTTGATCTCAGGACCCTGAGATCATGACCTGAGCTGAAATCAGGAGCTGGATGCTTAACCGACTGAGCCACCCAGGCACCCCTCTTTGCTAAATTATTGACTTATCCGGCCCCCAAAAGGTAAAGAAAGAACAGAGAAGGGAGGAGGAAGGGAAGGCATGAGTGTTGATCATGAAGAGGAGGGGTTATCTCCACCTGACAGATGAGTTGATAAGGTTCTGTTTCTCTGCCTAAAGTCACACAACCAGTAGGTGGTGGAGCCAGAAGTCAGTTCTGCACTCCCCAAAAGGAAACTGCCACCCAGGACCCCATTCTGAGCACTTAGGAGGCTCCTGTCAAGCACGGATGTGGCATATTTCCTTGGAGTTGAGACCTCAAAGGAAGGGAATGTGTGCAAGAGCAGAACTGTGCCCTGGGCTGAAGAACAGATTTGTGAAGGCCTGAGGATAGGCAGGGTGTAGAAGTGGGGAAGTCATTTTTCTGGGGATCTGGTACAGGCTGTACTCAGGTAAAGGGTCAGGTCAAGTCCTCTCTCCCACCCGTCCCCATCTCCAGCTGCCTGCCTGAGTGCCCCCCCCCCCCCCCCAAAACCCAGCTCGGGTGAGTGCAAGGCCAGATGGGCCATCAGGTGACGTGCAGATTTTCTTCAACCGGAATGATCAAGCTTTGACCCAAAGCTGCAAGGACCATTGGGATGGCTCAGGTATCCAAGTGGCTGCATGTGTGTGCTCTTTTGGCCCATCTTGGCCTCTGTAGGCCTCAGTTCTGCACTCAGAACTGGGTGAGAATCTGTCTTCGGTTTAAATTCCTGTAAAAATGAGGATAATATCGTCCCTGCCTCATCAGGCAAATAGGAGAAGTAGGTGACATAAGGCAAGGGAGGGGCCTGAAACAGGATTTATCTCAAAGTAAGCCCTCAACTCAGTACCTACCTGGGGTCTGGATTCCCATTTTCTTGCTGAGCCAAGAAAAAGCTCTTCTCTGCTGCCATCTAGTGTGAATTTTGGGAATGACACCTGAGGGGAGGGGAGTGGGAAAAGCTCTCCGGTGAGGTCACCTGGGCCCTGAAAACTGCTGGCTGGAAGGTGGTGAGACGTGACGCAAGGCCTGTCACGCCCAGAATGGGCCACCTTCTCGCCAGGCTCAGACCTCTGCATGCCTTATGCTACCCTCTCCTCTTGGCTTCCCCACCTCCCCAGTTTTGAACTAACAGTGTGCTTAGAGAGTGTGCTGTAAGTCACCACACCCAGGGGCAGTGGGGTGTAAACCACAGATTTATTTTGCAAGTAAAAGAGGCATCCCAGGAGGGCCAGAACAGAAGAAACCACGGCTGAGAGCAGAACGCTTGGCTATGCAAAGACCGGAGAGGTCCGCAGGATTGCAGCCCCTGGGGAGAGCTGGGGAGGCAGGCCGTGGAGTGACCCCAGTGGCCTGGTGGCTGGGGCTCCAGAGGCCTCGGGCGCTCAACTCCACGTGCAGCATTTGCAGGAGGAGCTGAACACCAGGCTCCGAGGGCAGCTCTGCTGGAACAGCCTCCCCCCTACACAGCTGTAGTAGCTGCTCTGGTCCCGAGGGTTAGGGTAGAGCCCGTTGGCTTTGCCTTGGCAGAAGGCGTCCTGTTCAAGGCTGGGGCCACGCTCAGGTTCAGAAGGCCCGCGTGGTGTGGGGACTTCCGGTTCTGGCGTGCCTAAAGGCATATAGGGAAGACCTGGGGAAAGAGGGAAGATTCAGCCAAATCTCCTCCAAGGGATCCCCACCCACAGGCAGAGAACAGCCCGACAACGCTATGCCCACGGCTGCGGCACAGCTCGATGGGCCACACGGGGGCCACACAGGTAAGAGGCAGTCGATGGCCATCCACCGTCTGCACAGACCAGCCATACACTGGCGAGGGCCCCCGGGGGTCTTGCACTGCAGGCTGAGTGCAAGCTTTCCGTCTGAAGAGAGGAGCAAGCTGTGGTTCCCAGGCTGAGGGCCCCCAGAGAGAAGCCCCGGTTACCGACACCCCCGACAGGCATTGCCACAGTCAGAAAGGGGAAGAAGAGCCTGGAAAGAGAATGGTTTCAACAGTTTCCTTAGCCCTCAGGGGTGCATGAAATTTGGGAAATTGTAGTACTGGGACAAGGTTATTTCCTCAGAAGGAGCTGGGACCTAAAAAAAAAAAAAAAAAAAAAAAAGAAGGAGCTGGGACCTGCAGCTCAGGGCGGGGGTGTTGGTACCCTAGCCCCGAATTCTGCCTCTGGTCCCGGACCCTTAACTCACTCAGCTCCCGCTGTAGTGCCTTGATGAGGGGGTAGAGGCCCTGGTTACAGAAGAAGCCAGCGAAGTCGTCCATGTCCAGCGCCCAGATCATGGCCCCGCCCAGGCCCTTCTGCTTCAGGTAGCTGGCCTGTGCGGGGAGCGAGACCGCAGGTGGAGGAGGCTGGGGCAGCCCGGCCAGGCCCGCCCCAGAGCCTATCCTCTGGCTTCTTCATCAGAGACAGGGCTCTTGTTTCCAGCACCCCCAGGCCATGAGTGGTCCAGGCTCCTGGACACAGCCTTGGGCTAGAAGCCCAGGTAACCGAGTCCTGATCCCTACCAGGCATAAGTCATTCTAGAATCCTCCCGCCTCAACATGAGCATGGCCTGGGGTGGGCATGAGGGTGGAGGTGTGAGGAGTGGATGCGTGTGAACTTCCTTAGGTTCGAAGCTTTAACATCTCTGTCTTTTCTGGGCTGAGCTGCTGTGTTTGGGGGCACTGCCTGCTGGTTGTGATGAATCCAGTTACCATAGGGATGACGAAGCTTCCCCAGAGATCTGAACAATTTCCTGTCTTTAGGTCTTTCTCCTCCCTCGAGGGCCTTCTCTTCTCCACTAGATCCCCAAGTTGTCCCCAGGAAAGGGTTGTGTGTTCCCTTAAGGGGGTTTCTCTGTCCCCTAAGCCTGCCAGAGGGCCCTGGCATGAGGCAGGGTATTGGAAGAGAGGGCTGGTCCGGGGCCCGCCCACCTTCTCTGCTTTCAGACTTTCTCAAAGACCTTTCCACCATGACCCCTTCTCCTGTCTGTCTCCTCCAGCCAGGATCACCCTCCCTGCTCAATTCTCCCAGAGCCCTTGATCTACCCCTCTAGGAAGACCTGCCATTGTCTGCCCTGCATCAGAAGGGATGTGACTTGTCCAGATGAACAGGTGTGGGTGCCTCTGTAGGAGGTCACAGTCTCATGGGGGACAGAGGCATGGAAATACATAAATGCAGGGGAAGGGTGGAGAGATGGGGTAACTGGGTGATAGACACTGGGAGGGTATGTGATGTAATGAGCACTGGGTATTATATAAGACTGATGAATCACAGACCTGTGCCTCTGAAACCAATAACACATTATATGTTAATTAATTGAATTTGAATTTTAAAATGTAAAAGAAAAAGATATAAATGCACTCGTTTTGAACCACCAATATTGGGCAAGAGTTGATGGCGGGGTGGTCATAGAAGTAAATCAAAAGGTCTATAATTTGAACATGCACCAAATATTGTCAATGAGCTGAAAAAAAGGATACACCTCACTGTATTTCTCCTCTTCATATGTCTGTAGAATCTGCATTTTGTTAAATACAAATACAAGTATGTAATAAAATACAAATTCTTGGGGCGCCTGGGTGGCTCAGACGGTTAAGAGTCTGCCTTCGGCTCAGGTCATGATCCCAGGGTCCTGGGATCGAGTCCCGCATCGGGCTCCCTGCTAGGCGGGGAGCCTGCTTCTCTCCCTCTGCCTCTGCCTCTCTCTCTGACTTTCATGAATAAATAAGTAAATAAGATTTTAAAAAATAAATAAATAAAAAATAAAATAAAATAAAATACAAATTCTTCCAAGAGTGGTACTCAGTGTAGAGCAACTTTTTGTGATCGTGTCTTTTCTTAATCAATAGGTGGTAAAAATACAAAATACTATCACAAGAAGATCTATGACATGTTGAGATATTTTAAAGGAGACTCCTCTTTGAAGAGGTTCTGAATGTTATCATTCAGTGCTATTGACAGGCTCCGGCCTACCCAGGACCACCCCCCTCCCAGTAGGGCTGGGCCTCACCTTGGTTTTGAAGCTCTCCACATCATCGAAACCTACCCACTGGTTGCCTTGGAAGGCATAGGGTACCTTCTGGTCCTTGATTCTGTGCTCAATGGCCCCCTTCCAGGAGCAGACCTGTAGGAGCAGAGGGCAGAGCTGGGGAGGAGGCATTTGTGCCCCCTTGCCAAGAGGAGACTAGAGAGTGGAAAACTCCTGTCTGAGGGAGTCTGCAGGACCCGGGAGGTTCTAGATTGAGTGACCTAGAACCCTGGATTCAATGAGGCACTGGGGCTTAACGATAATCCAAGATGACAGATATGGATGGAATTCACCAGGCCAGAATTTGCTATGCCTGACATCCTCATTCAGAAACTATGGGAGAGGCAGCACCCCCCACCCCACCCCATATTAGGGGTGGCTGTGGGTTCTCCTACCTCGTAGTAAGCCAGCAGCCCTCCCTGGTTGGTAAAGGGGCCAGGGGTTCCAGGCCCCGTGGCTGGGGCCCCTACTCCAGTGTCTGATGGGGAGGCCAGGGTGAAGGATCGTCCGTAGGTGGGCATGCCAAGGATCAGTTTGTTGGCAGGGGTCCCCCTCTGCAGCCACAGCTGCACAGCAGAGTCCTGGTGAGGGGCAAGGAGGGGCGGGGTTAATTCACCTTACCTCTGGCCTGGTTCTGGTCTTCCAAAGCTGGGGGCCTCAGAGAAGCTTCACAGTGTTCCAACCTTAGTAGTGTTCCAACCCTGGCCTGTCTTCTTTAGGTCCTGTCTTATATCCTTGACCCCAGAGAAAGAGAAGCTGCATGGCACTCCAGCCAAGAGCATGAGCTTTGGAGTCAGACAACCATTCAAGGAGCCAATATTTATTCATGGCCCATTGTGCGCCTGGCTAGATGCTTGGGATGCGTCAGGGAACAAAGCAGCCGAGATCCCTGCCTGTCTCAGCAACTTACTACTTAACCTTGCTGAGCCTTGGGCTTCCTGTCTGTAACATAGAAACAACTAAAATTGCAAGAATTACAAGCTATGACGCAGGTATAAGGTCCAGCAAAACGCAGTAACGAATTGCTGTGATCACGCTGTGCTCTTTGCGGTCTGCTTCATTTATCTCTGTGTTCCTCGTGCCTAGAACAATGCTCGACACTTAGATGCTCAGACAGAAAGAACAAATGAGTACATGGTGTCCTCATGTGTCCCTGACCAGGGCCCTCCCCCTCACGTATGACTTGACGTGACATCCCAGCCTGTGACATGCGGAGGTACCCAATCTAAGGATGTGGAATAAATAAATAATGACGACTCCTCCCTCAAGCCAGGATTACGGGGTTCCCCCAGGAAGCTTTCTGTTCAAATCTAAGTCCTCCTGTTACTCCATACCCTCTTAGCACTTAAGTAAGGAACACTTTTCACCTAATATATCCATATTTATTTCTTTTTGCTGGTCTACATGATTTATCTCTGATCAGACTGGACCTTTTCAAAGGCAGAGGGCAGGGACCCCTGCTGAGCTCTATAGCACTTTGTACAAGTTTGGACAAGTCACCTTCTGGCCAGAAGCAGTCCTGGGCACAGAGTGCAGAGAGTAGAAGGCCTCTTCGTAAGAGGAGAAAGGTCTCCCTTCCCCATTGGATCCAGGGCACACAGCCTGGAGAACACAGTGCTGGTGGGCTTTAGGGCCCTCGCCTCTCAGCTGAACGTCTCTGGGTATTTCCTGGCTGGGCTGGGCTGGCTTCCCCAGGACCCACAGTCTTCCAGATGGGGGTGCAGGGGCTGGGCTCAGTGTGAACTACGGATGCCTGACTCAAGTGCCCAAAGATGTGTCCCTTATTTGTGAAAGAGCCCCAGAAGTCTAAGATGTTCTACCCAAGCTGATACACTAAGATTCAGGCTCCTCAAAGTTAAAAAGCATTTTTATTTAAGGTCTTTTTTGTTTGTTTACTTTTTTAAAAGAAATAATAAGGTTATTCTTAATTTTTCAAATGCAGAGTGGGCTTATAAAAACCCTCTGGGCTGCTCCACCAGGGTGGGCCGCGCAGGAAACCTCCACTCACCCCAGCCTGAAACCACACCAGCCCTTTGCAGGGACTGGGATCAGGGTGGAGGGGGCCCTGCCCCGAGGGACATCTCCTGATGTGTTATCAGCTTGGGAAAGCTTCCACCTCCGGAAGCACCTTCAGAAGGTCAATTAGAGTGACCAGGAGGGAAAGTTTACCCATTATCTTGAAGGAAATGGGGTGGGGGGTATGAAGGAAGCAAGAAGCTATTTTCGCTGGACATTCAAGCTCAAAGACAGTCTCCCAATGAGTCACTGCTTTGTTTGATGTCGTTAAATTGGTTTGTTGTGTCTAATATCAGCCAGGATGCTACACAGAACTAAGGTTTCCCCCCGGAACTGACACAGGAGAAGAAAAGAAACAAGCGAAGAAACAGAAAGTCCTGGCTACTCTGTGCCCTGCTTGGTTACCCTGCTTTTCCTTTCCATTAGGGCCTCAAGGCTCAAAAGAGGCCAACTGGGGGCGCCCGGGTGGCTCAGTTGGTTAAGCATCTGCCTTTTGGCTCAGGTCATGATCCCAGGGAACTGGGATCAGGCTCCCAGCTCAGCGGGGAGTCTGCTTCTCCCTCTCCCTCTGCCCCCCCACTCCCCGGCTCTTGCTCTCTCTCAAATAAATAAATAACATCTTTAAAAAAATGGCCACCTGACAGGGCTTGTGGATGGGGAGTCCTGCCTCACCCCTGCAGCCACTCACCACGTTCAATTTGGCTGCTGCCCCGCTCTCCCCCTGCATCTTGTAGAGGGGGCTGTTATGTCCTGTGATCTTCTCATAAGAGCCATGGAAGTCGTAGGCCATGAGGCTAATGAAGTCCAGGCTCCTGCAAGAGGCGTGGAGAGAGGGGTGAGGGGCTAGTGAGCAGCCCCTCCTTGCTCCTTCCTGCCCTCACTGTGGGGCCGAGGACAGGCCCTCATGGTAAGAGGCAGGGGTGCAGGCTCACCCCTGGTGTGTAAGAGGTGATCAAACAGCACTCCCTAGTTCCCCCCACAAGCCCCCAATATTGAGGTCATTGTCATTCCGACTGCGGGGTTGGCGGCTCCCGTCTTTGGCATCCTTCCCACAGCAACCTCAGGGCACCTCGTGCCTTTACCATTTTGGAGGCAACTCTAGCCCAGTGTTGCTCAAACTTTCGTGTGCACATGAATCACCTGGGAAGCTCATTCAAATACAGGCTCTCATTTAGGAGGCCTGCGGTAGGGCCTGAGATCCTGCATCTCTAACAAGCCCGCAGGTGCACACTCAACGCTTTGGGGTGCCAGAATCCAGACGACTCGTCCTCCTGCCTTCACTCTTGCCCTCCCAGGGTGCTTGATGTTAAAACTGAGTTCCCGGGCGCCTGGGTGGCTCAGATGGTTAAGCGTCTGCCTTCGGCTCAAGTCATGATCCCAGGGTCCTGGGATCGAGTCCCGCATCGGGCTCCCTGCTCCTTGGGAGCCTGCTTCTCTCTCTCTCTCTCTCTCTCTGTCTCTCATGAATAAATAAATAAAATCTTTAAAAAAAAAAAAACAAAACTGAGTTCCCAAGGGAAAGGGCAAGGATTCCAAAAGAGACTATCTGGAACACCGGAGTAGCTGACACAGTGAGCAGACCCTTCCTGGGTCAGCTGCTGGATGGCTGGTCTTTTCCAAAATGACACGTCGCAGGTGAGCACCTGCTTTACTCCTGCGGCAGCTCAGGCTGCAGTGGCCTCTCCCACCTCGGAGAGCACAGCTTCCTTACCGTCCGCCTGAGACTCACTGAGCAATTTTGTCCACCTCATATCCAGCATCTATGTACTTTCTCCCGGCCGGGACGGCTGCACTCAGAAGGAGGCGTTCCTTCCCCGAAGTCTGGGCTTCCTGCTGGAAGGCGACGGCCAGGTCCTGCAAGGGCAGCTCAGAGTGAGCACAGAGACAGGGACCAGACAGGCCCCTGGGGGCACCAAGCAGATGCTCACTCTCAGGAGTCTGAAAACCGACCACAGGGCTGGTCTGTGCTATGCTAACACACGAAGCAGTGGGCCCCAGGGACAGAGCAGCACCCACATGTCCTGTGAGGGCACCGGTGTGGGCCCCCCCTGGCCAGTGGGGTGACTCTCTTCCCCGCCCAGCCATACCTGCACCAGGGCTGTGAAGCGCTGCTTGTCTGAAGGAGGGCTCCCCCGGCTTCCTGGGTACTCCCAGTCAAGGTCAAGGCCATCAAAACCATGATTGCGCAGAAACTTAATGGCTGAGTCGACAAAGGTCTGACGGTTGTTGGCTGTCGCCACCATATCTGTGAACCTGTGGGGTGATGAAGGACAGTGTGGGCCTGCCTTGCTGACAGGGGGCCACTCTCTCCCTCAGACGCAAGCGAGAAACTCCTCAGGATATAGGTGGCCGGCCGTTCGGGCCGGGAGGATGCTGGGAGGGCTGCTTCCGAGGCTGCTGAGATATTTGCCGTGCAATTACCAGCCTGGCCTCGGAAAGAGACAACCCAGAAGTGTGTCCTGTCCCCAGGGCACATTGACTTGCCTGGAGCTCTGCCTCCCCGAATTCCCTCCACCAACCTACTGCCATGTCCCTGCTCAGGGAATTGTCCTACCCTGAATCAGAGCTGGCTGTCACCCCAGCGTGGAGGTTTAGAAAAGAGGAATCAGTTTCTAAAAGAACAGAGAGAAGTACAGCGAGGTTAGTGAGGATCTGGGTAACCCGAGAGCCTGCTGCCCTCATTCCCTGGTGGGTTAACACGGTCATTTTCTTCAAACTCACATTCGTAAAATGCTTGTGCTATAGTCCAGAGCTCCTCGAAATCCCGAGCTGCCCGAAGAACCCCCTCTCCACATCCTCCTGATTCCCAGGATCGCTCCAAGAAGTGTCTCAAGGTTTCTGATCCTATTTTACTTGGTTTTCTATTGATTTATTAATTTAATTAATAGCAGCAGTTCTTAAGTGGGTCTACGTGCTGGGATCCCCAGGCTAAGAACCCCTGTATTCCAATAAAAAATCTGCATATAAAGAGTATTTGGGGAAGGTGGGTCATAAATTTCATCAGGTTTTCAAAAGGGCTCATGATCCAAAAAATTTTAGAAATGGGATGACTGGGTGGCTCAGTCAGCTAAGCGTCTGCCTTCGGCTCAGGTCATGATCCCGGGGTCCTGGTCGAGCCCCGCATCAGGCTCCTTGTTCAGCAGGGAGCCTGTTTCTCCCTCTGCCCGCCACTCTCCCTGCTTGTGCTCTCTCTCTGACAAATAAATAAATAAAATCTTGAAAAAAAAAAAGAAAACAAAAAAGTTTTAGAAAGAGCAGTTTAGAACTTTGGGAATCTTATATTCTGGACTTTCTAGGAAAAGTCTAGGTTCAAATATCTCATTCCATTGTCTCCATAATTCCTCAGAAATGTCCCAGAAATGCCAATATTTTGGGCAGCCAAGCTCACTCTCAGAAGTGGAACAAAAATTCTCAGATAAGATATCCTGTTTCAGAGCTCCAGAAATATAGACACTACATGTTGTCTGGGATTAGCTGGGACTCTCCCTCTACCCATTTCTTGGAGGAAGAGACTGAAAACTGGAAAGAGGCCAGAATCTCTCCTGCGCTCCTGGCAAGACTGGATGTGTAACAGTCTGGAGCTGAGCCCCCTCCACAGCCCTCCGAATGAGGTACCAAGAGCCCAAGAGGAAGGTCAGCCCCCAGAGTCCAGGCTCCCCTCCCGACTCCCTCACCCTGACTACACTTCAGCCTGGCCTGATTCCCTGACCAGGGCTCTCCCTTGCCAGTAAGTCGGGTCTCCACCCAGTGGCTCTGCCATACAAGTACCCACGGCCAACTCACTTTCGGGTGCCGAAGTTCCAGCCCCCAATGGCAAGCAGCGTCTTCAACTTGGGATTCCTAGGAAAGACAACACAAATGCTGGAATTGACAGAACTGAATGCCTAGCCAGCTCCTAGGGCTCACCTCACTGATGGGGAAAGCAAGGGGTGGTGGGTGCCCTGATGGGCGCTGATGGGGTGGGGGTTGTGTAAATCCCTATGCACAGAGCCTGGATGGGGGAGCTCTAGATTGGGAAAGAGAAGGCATGTTCCTGCCTTCAAGGGCCTCCCATCTGGCTGGGGATATATACAGACAAAGAACTCAGGAAGCAGAGATAAGGGCGGATCCACAGAGTGGCTTTGTCAAGGTGGCGATAACACCTGAGCTAAAGGATGGATAGACTTTAGGAGGAAGAAGGGCATGCATACCCAGCAGAGGGAAACAGTTTCCCAACCCAGATCCCACTTAGACCTAAACTGGAAGGGCCCTTAAGAGTCCCTCTCTACCCGTACATCTTCCATATAAGCACAGGAAAGCCCAGAGAGGTGATGCAACTTGCCCAAAGCCACACAGCAGGTCTGTAGCGGAATTGCAGCCCTGGGGAAGATTTCTGACTCTGAAAAGAGGTACCTGCCTTCTCTACCTCCCATCCCCCTCCAGAGCAGCTCACATCTTCTTCAGGCCATTGAACTCCTGGTACAAGGCCTCGTCATTCCACTCTATAGAGCTGAGCTGGTGGTTCTTCATGCCCGCAAAGGCATAGACAAGGTGGGTGCACAGGTTTGGGTCCACATCCTTGGGCAAGAAGCAAGCGACCCCCTGTCTGTACTGGGCCCAGTTGGTGAAGTAGCAGACCAGCTTTGCAGCAGAGCCTGGCCATTGGGGACAAAGAAAAGAAATGGCAGTCATAAGGGTCTGCTGAGGACTGGCATCCTCCACCCCGGGGCAGAACCTACATAATGCCAGAGAGTGTTAACTATGACTCTTGACCTGCTGAAGCCAGGGAGGCAGAACTTTCAAAATGCGGCTTGGGATACTTCAGAAGTTTCATTAAAATGCAAATACATGAAGTAGCAGAGAAGAGGCCTCAGTTACATGCCTGCGTTTATGTTTTAGTCTTGCTTTAAAAAAGTTTTATTTCTTACAGAGAATCTATGTTTGTTAATATCGCTGATAAGGTTCTAATGAAGAGCTTGTTTTATCTAGGAAAAGGCAGCTTGTTTCTGGAATCCCCAGAGAGTTTGGGAACTTTGGGGGGGGCGGGGCGTCTGTTCCTAGAAGTTTGATCTAGCAGTGATGGCCCCCACAGAGGTCAGCGTTATGCTAGGTTGACCAGATAACCAGACAGCGAGAAGGCTGATTTTTATTCCTGTATCTGTCAGAAATGCACTTTGGGCCGATTGCTTCTTCAGCTCTGGCCCAGGGTCCCCACCTGAAAATGAGGTTTGGTCTCTGAGGTTTCTTCCAGAACTTGTGGTCTATGAGGGTGTGGTCTGCACGAGCCAATATTTTATGCCAGGGACTTGGCAGAATCGTGGGTTTGTACTGGAGCACATCTATGGCCAGTGTCTAGACCTGAGGACTTCCTTTAGCCCTGACAGGGTCTCTCTGCAGTCCCCTCTGCCTTCCATGTGGCCAGGGAGAGGTCAGGGGAGAGGGAAGGGGGTGCAAAGTGTCCACTGGAGGCTGTGTGGAAACCCAGAGCATGAGGGGCTGTCTGAGACTCCCCTGAGCAGACCGATGGCTCCTGAAGGAGAAGCTAGAGTCCTTGGGTCGTCACTGGCTCTAACCAGAGGCTACTCAGGAGTAGAACTTGCCAGTGGGGGCTGGGAATGTAGCCTGCAGTGATACAGGAGGAGGAGGATTGGTGAACTCCTCAAAGCAAAGGGTTAACCTGGGGAACAATACATCCTAGGACTGACCATCTAGGAGGAAGCCTGGAGGCTCTTCTTACATCATACCCTGTTATATCAAATATCGTGCATGGATTTTTGTACTAGAGAGGCAATAAAATGTGGTGGTTAAGAGCAGGGTCTCTGGAATTTTAATGCCTGGGTTGAAATCCCAACTCTGCCATTTTCCAGCCAGGTTACTCAGCTTCTTGCTCCATACCATGAGAACGATCATCGTTTCTACCTCAAAGGACTGTCGTATGGATAAAGAGTTAAGATATTAAATACTCAGAACGTTGCTAGCAGATAGCAAGCTCTGTTCTAAGTGCTTTACATATATTAACCCTTGATTCACGCAAGACTCTGTTAATATATATACCATATATATACCAATATATATACCATACCGTAAACCCAGAAGTAGCTTGGATTTAGGCTTTTGGAGCAATCTTCAACCTTTCTTCCCCATGTTTATTATTTCCGTGGCCTCAGGCTGTTGCCTCCGGGGAGACCAAGAGGAGAACTATTTGTCTAATGTCACAGCCCAGCCTCAAGATGAGGGTCTGAGGAGCCAGCCTGACACACAGGGAGTGGGGTGGGGTGGGAAGGGAACCCCAGAATCCAAGTTGCTGAGCATCCCCCAGAGATCTCTCTCCTGTCTGACATGGGAAGTAGCCCTTCCTGGCTCCCCTGAGCCCTACATGCCATCAGTCCAGCAGAGTATGTTGTCTAGGTGGAGCTTAGGGGCTGGGATGCGGAGCTGGGTAAGACTTGAGCTCCTTCCCTCCAGGAGCTCACTGCCTGGTCGGGGAGACATCTATGCCAATAATCAGCAACACTGACATACATACTGGCAAATGTGTTCAGCTCTGTGAGAGCACAGAGGTTGGAGCAAGTGACCTCAGGAAAGACCTGAGAGAGCTTGACAGTGAAGCTGGCCCCATGGACATGCAGTTGGGCTAGTAGGTAAGGCAGCAAGAACTTTCCCTGAAGGAATGGCAGGGCTGTTCGCGGCACAAGGACACTTGCATGGGGCTGAGCTTTGGAGGAGAAGCCCCACGGAAATCTGGCAAGAGCTCTTGATGTGGGGGTGGGGGTGGGGGTCGGGGTTGGGGAGTGAGTGGGGAAGACAGCAGAGCCCAGGGAAGGGGCTGAGGGGATCCAGGCCTGGCCTCAAGAAGGTACCACTTACCCTCCCTGCCTCCAAGAAAAGGGGGCTTCCAACTCTTGATTTCAGCTCAGGTCTTGATCTCAGGGTCATGAATTCAAGACCCACATTGGGCTCCACACTGGGTGTGGAGCCTACTTCAAACAAACAAACAAACAAACACAAAACAAAACAAAAAACAAAAAAGAAAGGCTCCACTTACCCCATTGGATTGCCAGCAGAACTATCAGACCTAAAGCAGCACAAGAGAGAAGGCAGAGGTTAAGAGGTCATTGGTATTTTCCCTGGACCCTATCTGCCTCTTGAGGCCTGGGAGGTAGAGACGGTCAGAGAGGGGTAGGCCCAGGTTGGTTTCCTCCAAATCAAACTTCTTTTGTCCAAAAGGGACCCAGGAGGGCGCTGTGTCCATCCCTTCACCCCAGCCAGACAGCAGGGGCCCTCCCTGGCCTGGACTAGTCCCAGAGCTGATGGAAGTTTCTGTGAACAGAGGCTGCCCCTCCCTAGAGCATCAGTATTTAGGAAGATTCTAGGAAAACCCCAACTCGTGAGGAGAGAACGTTTCTTTTGGAACAAGCAGAAAACCTGTCCTGGGGCTGGTGAGAGCCAGTGTGGAAGGGCTAGGTCAGAGATGCCACCTCTCGGTGAGCCCTCTGCACCTCTGTTTACCCCCACTAGTTCCCTACTGCCTGCTGCTTTCCCGCTGCACCTTGAGTTACCAGCATCCTTGGAGACCTAGGGCCCAGCAGGACTCCTTTAGAAAGATTTATTTCACCGTTCTGGTGACCTTGCATTTTCCTGCTCACCTAATAGAACCTGTCTGAACACTTGCAAGGACACCCAAAGTCATGGCCTCCAGGCTGCCCTCTGTCTTGCAGGACAACCAGCACGGGATTAGGGAAGAATCTGTTGGCAGTGGGCATCCCTTGGAAAAGGCCAAAAGCAGAAACCTAAGAACATGGGAAAGATAAAACCACCCACTGCAGTGGTGTTTGCTGACTCTGGGCTTGCAGGACAGGAGGAGGAAAAGTCCATTTCAGCCTGTTGAGAAAAGCCTCTCCTTGCAGCACGAAGTCTCTTGGATTGAAAGAGTCCAGGGGGACCCCACAGGAATGGAGACAGCACCAAGAAGCCCCCTAATAACCACATCCTCACCTCCTCACAGCTCCCCGGGCCCAGCCCACTCTCCTGGACGGTGCCTACTCACCTGCCCAGGCCATGGACTGTGCCACCAGCTCTCTAGACCTGCTCTCCTTTTATCAGGCTGCCCTGATCCACCGTAGCCTGGACTGTTGAAATTAGGCGGTGGCGGAGTGGGGAGAGAAGGGCTGGGGTGTGGCTAGGGTGTCACGTAGCATGGATTGGGCAAACCTAACGCAATGGCCTTTAGCAATCTTTGGTTTTCTGGAATAATCACAGAGTGTAAACTGTGCCCTTGGCATGACCAAAACTGGGAGGCAGCGAGAGGGAAGCAGGAAGTGTTTCTAAGCATCCTGCTGGACAAGTACAGTTCTCATCTCCTCGGTGGGAGTTGGTGAAGACTGTGAGTGACCTATAACTTAATGCGCTGGGGAGGAAGAGGAATGATTCACAAGTCAGGGGAACTGGGCTCTTGACCAGCCTGCTTGCTTGCTTCTCCACTGCCTCCTCTGGAATTCACTTGCCCTCTCTGTAAGATGATGGGGTTGCAAATATAATATGTATTTTATGAAAGTTCTATTTTATTACCCTCTACGTGATAGTAATATATTTTATATTCATTGAATGAGAAAAATACCTAATGACAAATGGCAACTATGAGCTTAGTAGTAGTTTTAAATGCTTTGGTTTTCTTTGTCTTTTTTAATTTTTAATTAATTTTTAATTTTAATTTTTAATTTTAATTTTTTTTTAAATTTTTTTTAAGTAAGCTCTATACCCAACGTGGGCTTGAACTCACAACCCCGAGATCAAGAGTCACATGCTCCACTGACTGAGCCAGCCAGGTGCCCCTTGAATGCCTTGTTTCCTATAAATTATATATATATTAATTTCCTACAGCTGTTGTAACATATTCCCACAAATCTGGGAGGCTTAAAACAACAGAAATTCGGGGCGCCTGGGTGGCTCAGTTGGTTAAGCGACTGCCTTCGGCTCAGGTCATGATCCTGGAGTCCCAGGATCGAGTCCCGCATCGGGCTCCCTGCTCTGCATGGAGTCTGCTTCTCCCTCTCCCACTCCCCGTTTGTGTTCCCTCTCTCGCTGTGTCTTTCTCTGTCAAATAAATAAATAAAATCTTAAAAAAAAAAAAGATTAAAAAAAAAACAAACAGAAATTCATTCTCTCTCAGTTCCAGAGGCCAGATATCTGAAACCCAAGGTGTTGGCAGGGCCATCTGTCCTCTGACGTTTCTAAGGAAGAATCTTTCCTTGCACCTTCCAGCTTCTGATGGCTTCTGGTATTCCTTGGCTGGTGGTGGCATCACTTTGACCTCTGTCTCATGGCCTTTCCCCTGTGTCTCTGTGGTTCTTCTGGTACCTCTTACTAAGACACATGTCATTGGATTTGGGGCCCACCCTAATCTAGGATGATCTCATCTTGAGATTCTTGCCTTAATTACATCTGCAAAGACCCTTATGCCAAATAAGGTCACATTCTGAGCTCTTTTTTGGGGGGGGTGGCATGGGGAGGAGTACCGTTCAACCCACTGTAGGACCTAACCGTGTTCCTGTTACTGATTCTGTCTGCAGACAATGTCTGGTGAGTGCATGAACTCCAGGGTCCCAGGTGAAACTTGGCAGCTCTTAGGTGATCAGATCTTTGATCCTTGACCTTAATATCAGTGGCCTGGATGGCTGAGTGGGAAAGTCTGGTGGCAGCAGGTTCTGGGGTCAGGTTGCCTAGTTTTAATCCCAGCTCTGCCATTTACTATCTGCACAACCTCGAGCCAGTTCCTTAACTTCTCTGAGCTCCAGTTTCTTCATCTGTGAAGTGAAATCCTCAGAGGATTATTGGGAAGACCCTACATGTTGGCAGGTCCTGGTTCTGCCCTGTGTGTGTCAGAGCTCAGGGCCCTGGTAACCTCTGTGAGGTCCCTAAGAGGGTGAGACCTTGGTACCCAGATGGGCAGGCCCTGTGTCCTCGCTTTCCCTGAGGCAGCCATGGCCTCTTTTTTTTTTTTTTTAAGATTTTTATTTAGTTATTTGACAGAGAGAGACACACAGCGAGAGAGGGAACACAAGCAGGGGGAGCAGGAGAGGGAGAAGCAGGCTTCCTGCAGAGCAGGGAGCCCGATGCGGGGCTCGATCCCAGGACCCTGGGATCATGATCTGAGCTGAAGACAGACGCTTAATGACTGAGCCACCCAGGCGCCCCAGCCCTGGCCTCTTCTTTGGTCATTTCTGTTCCCTTCCCTTGGGGATCCATCAAAGGAGCCTGCTCAGGGTCCCCTGAGATCTACAGAGGTGCCTCAGCTCCTGGGATGCGAGCGAGAAGGGGAGGGTGAATGCATGAGCGAAGACTGCTTCTCCAGAGAGGCCGGTGGCCTCCTTCACTTGCCTGCCACCCCCACAAACACAACTGAGCTGTCAGCTTGGAGCTTCTGTGACTCAGCTTCCTGTCCCCAGGAGGACCCTGAACAGCAGGGGCCCAGCGTTCTGAGTTGCTCCAAATACCCATCTGGCCCAACTCATGTAGGGTCTCCACTATACCCAGTAGCCCACCATTAGCATCGTTACCTTGGTGAATGCAGCTGATTCTCCTCCTCCTCCTTCTTCTTCTTATATTGTTTTCTTTTTTGTTCCAGACCATTTCTTCAAAGGCAAGTCAGTAGGAACCTATTATATGAAACAAGCTCCTCTAAGTTCCTCTGGGAAGAATCTGGTGAGGGTCGGGGGCTCCGACTCTCGTGCTCTCGACTCTAAGATCAGCATGTCCTCCACACCAGCTCCCACGGCACCCCTGCGGGGGAGGGACTTGCCTTCAGCGGGGACACTGGCAAATGCAACTATGTGCGCTATTTCCTAAAAACCAACAAGACATGTCATAGACTTTGAAATGCTAAAGGCATTTCCATTAAAATAAGTCATAAAGAAAGCTTGAAGGCTATCACCACTGTAGCTCAGTGTTGTTTTACAAATTTTGCCTATTATAGGGGCACCTGGGTGGCTCAGTCAGTTGAGTGTCTGACTCTTGATTTCGGCTCAGGTCATGATCTCAGGGTCGTGGGGTTGAGCCCCATGTCGGGCTCCACACTCAGTGGGGAGTCTGCTTTGGATTCTCTCTCTCCCTCTCCATCTGCCCTTCCTCCCGTTCCCACTCTCTCTCTCTCTCAAATAAATAAAAATAAATAAATCTTTAAAAAAATTTTGGCTATTATACTAAGAAAAGGGGAAAATATATATAGTATATGAATGATATAATTGCCAGTAGTTGTAGATATGTTTGGGTATCTACAAAACCCTTCTGTTTTCTAGACTCTCAAAAAAAATAGACCAGGAATAAAACAGAATTTGCTGGATTTAAGGTGAATTAATAGCTTTTCTCTGTATTAGCAGAAACCAATTAGAATTAGAAACGGGGGCAAATGTGTGATCTACAGAAGTGTCAAAAGCTATAAAACACTTAGGACTAAATTTAATAACAATAAATTTGATAGTAAAATCTACAAAACTTATTGCAGGACAAAAACAAGATCCAAACATGTGCCTGCACAGGGAAACTATATCATTAAAAAAATATCAATTCTCCTTAGGGCGCCCGCGTGGCTCAGTCGGTTAAAGCGTCTGCCTTCGGCTCAGGTCATGATCCCGGGGTCCTGGGATCGAGCCCCGCATCGGGCTCCCAGCAGTGGGGAGTCTGCTTCTCTCTCTCCCTCAGCCGCTCCTTCCCGCTTATGCACTTTCTCTCTCTCTCAAATAAATAAATAAAATCTTTAAAAAAATGTCGATTCTCCTCAAGTTAAAAAAAAAGATAGTAATGATGAGGGACATGCTATACAAAACTTACTATAAATCCATTGGGATCAAAACATGGAATTGGGGGATGCCTGGGTGGCTCAGTTGGTTAAGTGACTGCCTTCGGCTCAGGTCATGATCCTGGAGTCCCGGGATCGAGTCCCACATCGGGCTCCCTGCTCAGCGAGGAGCCTGCTTCTCCCTCTGACCCTCCCCCCTCTCATGCTCTCTCTCATTCTCTCTCTCAAATAAATAAATAAAAATAAAAAAAAAACCCTTTAAAAAAACAAACAAACAAACAAAAAACATGGAATTGGCACCAGGGCAGACAAACAGAGGTAGATCTGAGCATATATGGAAAACATATGTCCAACAAAGGCAATGTTTCAACTGGGCAGGAAAAAGATGTTTCATAAATGCCAATGACTTAATTGTCTACCAAACTGGAAAGAATCAAGGTTGGGTGCCCCCCCACACCGTATATAGTAGTGAGGACAGGGGTAAGGTGAAGGGGTGCCCTGGAAGTAAAGGGGGTGGCCAGAACCCAGCCAGAGAGGGCGAGGGGAGGCCGGGGGAGTGGTGTTTGAACAGAGCTTCGAGAACGAGTAGTGTGGCAGGCAAAGGAAGGCAGGATGGTTTTGGCAAGCATACCGGATATTCAGTGATGGGTCGTCTCAGACAAAACAGCCCATGATGCTGCAGGGACAGTAACACAGCCTCCCATCAGTTGAGAAGCACCAACTGAGGAAAGCAGGCTGGGGGTGATCTCTGCTAAGGGGCCCTAAGGGGGAGGGCACCAGACATGCCAGCAGGGGAGGAGGGGGCTGCGTTGCTTTACCAACCTGGACTTCTTCTGCAATTGTGTCTCAGACTAGGTAGGGTACATTTGAGGCTGACCTGATAGGCCTGACCTAAACTGCAAAATATCAAGGAATAGAAAGCTACAGCTTGGGGGGTCGAGTCCTGGGAAGCAGAAGACAGGCCCATGTCCTGTGAAGCCCAGGGAGTGACCCAGAACACCCACCCGTGAATTTCTAACTCAAGCAAACAGGTCTCGGCCTCCAGTGCAGGTGACCCATGTCTAAACTGAAAGATCCCTGGTACCTTCAGCAAGCTCTAATCAACCGCATGCCATGCCTCTGCTCCTTGGCCTTCTCCCTCCCGGGGCAGCCTTTCTGGCCCCCCACATCTTACAGGGATCCATCTGAGTCAAGCCTTGCCTCCTCCCCAGTCATGCTGGTCCACACCAACTCCTGCCATCTGGGAGCCATTCCTTCCACCCAGAGCAGGAAGACACCCTGCTTGGAGACCGACAGGCCTGGGTGTGCCTCAGTGGATCTCCCAAGAGATGACATCAGGGGGCTTTATACCCTTTCTTCCATCCCCACTGGCTTCTCTCACCCTCTCTCA